ACAGATCTTTTTCTGTTGAAAAATCCCTTTAAAGAATATATTTTTATCGGAATTTTTTAAAAATCTATTTCATTTTTTTAGTGCAACTATTGTACAAAAAATTTAATTAATTTAAATTTATTTTTATTTAAATTAAAATAAATTTTTTTTTACAAATAAAAATATTGCAAAAGTTGTTAATATTAATATTTTTTATTAGAACTTAATTTTTCGAAAAGGAAGAAAATTTAATAATTAATTTTAATATTAATATTTAATTAAATTAATATTAATATTTAATTAAATTAATATTAATATTTAATTAAATTAATTAAATTTAATTTTTTATTATTGATAATAGATTACAAGTCTCTTAATTTGAATTATTTATCTGTCGAGAAAAGTTTAAATTTCATATTAATTGAATCATCTATTACGAGTGAAATTTGTCGTCAAAATATGTTTCAGAAATGATACAGAATTTATAAAGTTATTTCTTTTTTATAAAAAAAAATTAATAATTGCGTATTGTTTCTTTCCCGTAACAAACCTTTACCTTGTTCTCCAGGTCACGCCGCCCTTAGACGTCGAAACGATGTCGCAAACTCTCAAAGAGAAGAATATCCTTCCATCAAATCTGAAATTTGGTTTTCTTGGGCTTGGCATCATGGGCAGTGGTATTGTGAAAAATTTGATCAACAGTGGTCATACCGTGATCGTGTGGAATCGGACGCAGGAAAAGGTATGTACCGATATCTTTTTTTCATTCTTTTTTTTCTATAAAATCGAAAAATATACGCGCAAAATTTATTGATGTCCTGAACGCAGTATATCAATTAAATTAATATCTATTAAAAATTTTTTATTTATTAAAAAAGTAAAAAATTTTAAACTGTTATATTATTTAACTGTATACTATTTATTTAAAAAAATCGAATGCAGCGATAGAACGAATTAAGAATTAAAAATGAATTAAGAATACGCATTTGATAATATAATTATACGTGTAATCCTTTATTGATTTTAATTTATGCTTTATTATATTGTAATTAATCACGTTTATCCTGGAATGTTTGTTTTTAAATCGCGAACATCAAACCTTGATGAATAGATCGGTACTTGTCATTGTGTTGCCTGAAACAAAATAGGTTGTTGAAGAAAATTAAAAGTATCGCAATAAACAATAAGATTTATTAACTTGAGAACTATGGTATGAGTTGAGCAGATCGTCAACATCGTCTCGATGGGGAGAAATAACTCGGATTTGTTACCACAAAACGCTTTGTTACAAATGGCTTTAGGTCTTTTACATCGCTCAGTCGTAACATTAAAACAATTTAACCGCTCGGTTTCTTCTAAGTTTCCAACGTGAATAATATTTTTTTGATAGCGGATATAGTAGATCGGTGCCGTTTTCTCGTTGCTGCAGAATGATCTGCAATCCGCAAGTTTACGACGATTTACGTAGAAAATGATACATAGTCGCATTTATTCGTCAGTATCCGTTAGTAATACGTAGAAAATAGGAGACTGTCGACGGGAAGTTCGACAAGATACTTTCAGGCTTCAAATTTTCAAAGTACCTCTTGGCAAATTATACGTAAGATACTTCGAATGGGTTTTCTATGGAGATAGCCCTAAGAATCATTTGGTTGTTTTTAAATCATCGAAGTTGATGATACCTCCGTTAATATGAAAACGGTGCTTCAGTGTAAAAAAGAGTTTGCGCGTTAGACTTTGCTTCTTTGGTAGCCGGTTTCCAAATGTTGAACTGCAACACAAGCGGCTACTTATGTGTCCAATATACGAATATACAATATATCAAGATTTTTAACAATTTTAAGTGACTGGCAAACATAACTTTGTGAAATACTCATTATAAATTTTTATTTTGATTATACATAATTTATTTAGGTTTTTTTAAGGTGATTGAAATTTATACAAACGAGTGTAATTATATATTCGGAATAATTATTACTTTTATAGTTGCGTCGAAGACGTCCCTCTGTTATATACGATTTGTGCAATTTATCGTTTATTATTTATCAAAAAATGTATTGAGTAACATTGCAAACTCCATTCTACATCAATAATTTATATCGCACTGTAGCCTTCAAAAGTTCGTAAATCACAGTGTTTAAAAGATTCATTAAAGTATCGAAGGTATACAGGATGTCCCAAACGAGCAGTCGATAATTTTTCTGGCATATTGATAAAATAAGATAGTTTCTCTCGCTGTTACATCAAGACAAATTCTTATATATAATATTATATATAATAATACGTGCTACAATATATAAATATTTGCTACAAAATTAATTTTTACAGCATTTAATTCCGATGAGAGAGAATAGCGTTCGCGGAATTCTAGATGGAATAAGATCTATGATTTAATTTCTAATTTTCTAATTTCATCTATGATGAAATCTTCAATTTACAGTGGCGTAATTAATCTTTAATGCACTAATATATTTTCGACTCTTAACAAGAGAGACAATAAAGTCTTCTCTTTCTTTGCTTTATTTGCGAAATTAAAACAAAGTAATGAAAAAAAATTTACACATTTTGATCTGTAGAAATATTTAATTGAAAAACACTCGATCAACAAAAGATTTATGTTTTAATTTTATGAATTTTATTTAAAAAATTTTTTTTGTTTAATTTAAAATATGATGTTTTTAATTATTTTTAAAGCACCGTTTACTCGCATTTAATAATAATTATGCCACTGACATAATTAATTAGAACGCAAAAATCTCTGCAAAAAATTTCTGGAAAGTAACAACGCGTGATTCCAATTATTTCGGTCTTTGCATACCTCAATCAATGTCATCAATAGCGTTTTTTCGCATCATCAATTTTAATTTGTACGCACTGCACGCGCGTTATCCCTCCTTAAGGCTTCGCGGTTTAAAAATGACATCGTATAAAAAATATACATGCTGGAAGCATAAGTACGAGCGTTCGGTATACGAAGGAACAGAGAAAAGATTCTCTTGCCTAAGATTCGATGTGCCGTGACGAGAAGCTAGCTAGTTAAATTTAACTTCAAATTATTCTCTAAGCGCAGTAGATTTCAAATCTTTCTGATCTTTTTTCACTTTCAAATCTCGAAAAGCCTGTTCTGGCATAATCCGGTTGTACAATAGATAATCCATCCGTTTAATTAATGTTAAAAATACGGCGGCTGAACGCATCAATCGGATTTTATTTTTCTGTATATTCTTCCATACAACAATCAGAAATAAGAGAATGATGTAACATTTGGAGGAGCTACAAAACGATATTGATTTCTTCACAGTTGAACGGTTTAATTAAAATCATATATAAGATCAATTATAGATAAGATAATATAACAATAGTAAAAGATTAGAAAAACTAAACTTTTCAATAATCAAAATTATATCAAATTAATGATATTGGAAATTAATTCTAAATACTTTCGATGTTAATTACATTTGCACGCGATAGTAATTTCTTTGATAACGAGCATTTAATGTTATCGAGTTGTTTCAAACAAAGAAAGTCAAAAGCATTATTAAATAAGCATTGATATATAAATATGTTAATGTGATATATAAATATGATAATGATACCTTTTTCTGAATTAGATTTCTAATGGATGCCTTTATTGGAATGTGGATATTCTTTCTTTTTTTTTTCTTATTTTTTTTTTTTTATATATTTGACATACCATCAAGGAAAATTCGTAGCGGATCGATAGGTTTGGCAAGTATTCAAGAAGACTGTATTGTAGGTATTATGATGTGACTCTTATTAGCTCCTTGCAAAATTCTCGAGATATTAAAAATCATTTTCACTTTCTTGAAACTAATCAGACAATTTGGTAATCTTCGAAATAATGAATGACTGCCATATCGCAGTAATATGGAAAAGAAAGACACTTGTAAACAAAAAATAATTGTATAAAATGATTTATAGCTTTACCAAAACTTTTTCGACAGATTGACAGAATTATATGAGACAGCATCTCTAAATAAACTGCACGATAATGCCCATTTTGATATATTACAGATGATATCTTATAAGACTCTTGTTTCGTTTCTTTTGATGTCATTTGTGATGTATCAACTGATACACGTGTATCTTTGAAAATAAAGTACAAATGAAACATGCAGAGCCATGAAATATGAATCTGTCTAAATTCTTAATAAAGTTGTGATTTGAGTTTATAATCACAAAGCATTATAGCATAACTTTGTTTGCGATTACTCCAATCAATTCTTCTAAATTAGAGCGGAAACAACCTTCGTTCAATCCTCGTTTAAACTAGTTTAAACACGCGAATATCGACGAGATTTATGAGACCAAGTACAATTAGGTTGATTGATTGTACTATTTGTAGTATATTACAACTTCTAAATAGTTCTAAATAGTTGATCTACGGACAAAGTAGCGGCATATATTTAAAAAGTAAAAAATTTTTTCTTAAAAAATATTTCTTGTGATGAAGCCAGAAATGTTTCCTTAGTAAAAGTTTCTCACGAGCTCTTGAATTTTCCAGAATAAATATTTCAGCGATTAATGTATAATTTCTGTCTAATGATTAGATCTCTAAAACTTAATTGTTTAAAAATGAACATTATTAAAAAATTCTTAACAAATCTTATAGATACATATGCGAGAGAAGATGTTAGTATAGATGAAATTTTAATTTTGATATTTTTTAAATGAAGATTTTTCTGGAATAAGCGTTTCGATTTCTGTTAAACTTAGCATTATATTTTGCAATTGATTAAAGTAAATCCTATTATTCTATTTATAATTAATTGGAATAAGAATTTTTTTGTTTAGCTCATGTACCTTTATGATTTAGTTTTGTTTGTATTTTCATCATATTTTTACACGTTTCAATTGGGAAAGACAACTAAAGACTAAAAATCGCCTGATAATTTTATATATTTGTATTATGAAAATTGTGAGAATTAAAATTGTAATAATTATAGATTTACATTATAATTGCAGCATACTTATGTATTCTGATTTAATTTCAAGCAGAACTGTACTCAGAATTGTATAGATTTCTGATAATGAATTATCAATTTTGACAAATTTTCTATTGATTCATGTTTAATTACGAATATTTAAAAAGTGTAATTTCATATAGCAATAAATATTGCTATACGAAATTACACGATACAAGTTCAACTTTAACGATATTCTTTTATCAATTACACATATATATACTTTTATTAAAAAGTTTTTCTATTGATTCTTCATAGAGTCTATCAAGATTGTAAGATACGAATAACATAAAAAAATAGTATATTTGTCCCAAGATGGAATGAATTGTATTAAAAATCAAGTACAAAGATTCCGTAATCGCTCTCTAACTTTTCACCAAGGAAACGTTGAGCTTCAGCTTCATCAAATTGCCTGACGATCTGTCGATTCCCATTTTAGATTTTAGCCCGGACAGATTTCCCTCGACATAGAGTAGGTTTCTCCTTATAATGGCGGGATCGTGTAACTACATGATTTCTATCATGGTTCTGCTCCGTCTTGCGTATCCCATACGTGATTTCCCCCTCCGTCTAGCACGGAGGAAGCATGATAAAACTTTATCTCTCTCGCAACGACGCTGACGCGATCCAAAAATAACAACAACGCTCTCTTGGCCGCGATCATTTTCCTTTCCGTTTCGTTCCGTTCCGTTATTATGATGGTGACTTAATCGTGTCTGTCTACGATCGACAGCGTCATTTACGTAGATGATCGCTAGTCACGTGCTTTTCCGCTACTCGCGATGATCTTCTTTTAACATGAAAATGAATTCGCGAAGATACGAAAGAGACGATTAATGAATTTCCTAACGAAAGGGCGAACCAAGAATACCTAAATTTAATTTCTCGAAGTTTTACGTCCTTTAATCATTAATTGCTTTGCCAATTTACGTTGAAATGTCCATTGAAAAAATAAATACTACTTTCGATACCTATATCGCACGAACTTTTGTATATAGTAATTCAAAAAGAAGATTTATCTTAATAAATTATAACTATTATTTCTAATGTTTGCATTTCTTCAATATAAAAGTTATAAGAAATTATTTTCTGGAATAATGGAATTTATAAATGAATCAGTTGCATGTAAAGGTGTTATTTCTCATGAACTCATGCATAGCAATATTTTTTTTCTTGTCCCACAGGACAAGTGACTTCAAGTTTAATAAAATCTAAATTTGACAAAGATATGAAATAGAAAATATAAAATTTTAATAAAATTAATTCTTTTAAAGACAAATTAAATTTTAATACATTTTAAATAAACCCGTTTTATATGATAAAGAATGAATAATATAATTAAATATTTTTACTATGTTTTTAAAATTATTTTATATTATTCTGTAGAATTAATAATTGAATTTTATATTATACTTAATTATATAAAATTGGAACTGATATTCTTATTAATTCTTTTGTGTCATTTGTTAATGGCTTAAATTAGATTGGATAAATTATGGATTATTTATTTACTTTTATGCTATATCCTTCAATTACCGCTCTCATTTTTTTAATTTGGTTATTAAATGATGTTGCGAAAAATATTCTCTCAATGATTAAAGTTTAATTAAAGAGTTCGCATCTTTGCTAATTAGCAGTGAGCTAATTTACGTAATTAGTAACATCTATTTTTCTGTTTAGCATGCGCGTCTTAAAGAAGAAGTTGCTAAATTGAATTTTCAATATATTTTTCTGCAAAGCATGATTGCAAAATGAAATTTGGATGAGGGATTAAGATGTAGATGCTGTGCGACGATTCGTCAGGATTTATTCAACAAAGAGGTGCATTTTGCAAAACTTGTATAAGACCAGTTTCATTGCAATTGAAATCGTACATACAATTCCTTTCTCTGAAACGGTTTCAGTTCAAAGATTTAACAGCCAATATAATTTTATATTATTATAATTTCCCTTTTTTCTTTCATTCTCTTTGCAAACAATAAGCCCGAGCGGTTAGAGATATGTTGCTATAATGATTAAAAAATTAAGTACATACGTTTGTTACTTTCTGGTATGTTTCCTTGTTTTTTTTTTCCAATGAGTATATACTTCTATGTCTCGGAGTTTATGAGCTACTATGCTAAACACAAGCCAAAAGAAAAGAGAAAAGAAGAAAGGAAAGAACGCGAGTAATCGGATGATGTTTTTCGCATTTTATTCGTGAGAAAGTCGAGACGTAGAAGAAGAAAGCAATTAAAACAAACGATAACGGGCGAGTTGATCTCGCCACCTCAGTCTTTTGCAATGAGAAGATAATCCGAAGATAATCCGACTTTTTATCATGGGCACTGATACAGGAAACTTTCACGCATGTCTATTTACAGAAGGATTGAAGACGATTCCTTGGAAATCGCAACCTTAAGATTTGTAGAATTGACACTAGGCGAAGTTACTTTTTCCCCTTGTTGCATCTGCAAGAGGAAATTAATTTAACAGCCGAATTAATGCAGATGCAAAATGTAATTCGCATCTTTCTCTTCTTTTTTTTTTTTAAATCTTTATCCTCTGGGATGATGACAGTCATCTAAAAACGATGACACTGATGAAAAAGCACGTTGCTTGATGCGACGGACAGTTTGCAAGGTCAATCATATCATAAGGAGAGTCCTTGGAAACTGTCCGCAATTTTTTTTTTTTGTTCTCCTAGATTAGCACACATGCACACACTTTTTCTTACGATCGACAGTCATCGATCTCGGCAGAGGGAGGATCTTCCGTTTCTTGGCACTAACACGAATTCTTCTCGAACTGTCTTCCAGGACATTCTCCTCGATTCAGTCGTACAATTAAAAGCGGAAGAAGTGATCTTCTCGCGATCTTCATTAATCGGATGCAGGATAGCGTTGACTTTTCCGTTACACACCATTTCTTGTCGATTATCTGAGAATCTCTTTATCTTTATTTAACTTTTTGTTAACTTAAACGATAGCAGGAATCCATTCTTGGCCACTTTAACGCGCTTTAATTTCTGCCGGCTAAAGTTTAGTCTCGCGTGGAAGATCAGGTAGACTATTGCTAGGTGCTAAAAGTCCCAGGGCTTCTGGAGTTTCTTTACGGAATTCCTTCGCCAAGACCTCCGTACCGTTCGGTCCTTTGAATATTGGTTTGTTGTTCTCGTAGTTCTTATATACGGACAACGTGCTACCATATTCATTGATACACTGCAGCACTGTCGAAGCGGGTAACACTGTAGGAGGTCCCAGAGGTGGTAGCGGTGGACCATTCTCTTCGATGTAATTGATATGAATGCCTTCTATTGTGTGCGGACTGGTTGATGATAATTCAGTCGGCGTGTAGTATTCACTATTGACATCCTCCAAACTCGGTCCTGCCGCCAAATCATCGATCTTCGCCTTGAAGTAGGTGTCCATGCCGTTGAGGTCATCCTTGGTAGGATCGAATATCATGGAGTCACTTTTGCCGCACGAGCCGCTCCGACAATTGTCAAAGTATAAATTCGGCAAGTTCTCCAGCACTTTCGCTAGCGTCTGCTGCTGGTACTTGTAACTCTCGCGCAACCGCAATACTTGATGGGCGCTGAACTTGCGAATCTTGTTTCGTTGGAAGACATAATTCTCGCGTACCCAATTCAACTGGCTCGTGGAGTAGTCTCGTACTCTTTTCACCTGCGAGAAAACAAAATAGACACGATTAGATATTATCTATCATTTATCTATTACCTGTATTATTATATACATGATCTCATTACAATGACGAATGCGTTACATAATTTTTTTTCAGTCTTATTACGTCTTCTCTCGACGTAGAGTTGTTTTTATTGATATCGAAATCATCATGACGATATGTTTAATGAATTTTTTGTTATTTTGCACGTAAACAACGTCTTGTCGGATGAAAAATAATAAATGCGATAACAAATTGAGCTGCTAAATTGCGACAAGGACAATACCGCGCAAAAATTCCCCCGAGGCATTATACCTGATCGTAGTACTGATCTCTCAGGGCAGTCAGATGGCTGGTACCGTAGTCCCGTATATCTCGTATATGCCGCATTTGACCTTCGTAGCTGTCGCGGATCCATTCCACTTGCTGAACGCAGTTGTCTTTAATTCTGTGCACCTGTTGCGTGTAGTTCTCCCTCAGTCTTTCGAGCTGCTGGCTCTTATACTGTTCGATGTTGTCAAGCATCTGGTAGATTTGCTTGGCCCGCGGAGTAGCGCCCACGCGTCTGCAGCACAGGCACCATTTGATACATCCACACCTATGAGCGATTCGCGGAAAGAGTATGTTAATAAGAAGATTGGGAAAAGAATATAGAAAGTCGTCGGAATTGTCAGGTGGAGTTATCGATCGCGTCTTGACCTTCCGCCTGACTCGTTCTACTCATCCAAGTTGACGAACTCTTGACGAACGTCTTATTCTCATTCGAACTGTTAACTGACTCTATTGCTTGACAGTATCGGTCGCGTGAAATACAATGTGTAAAAATATATTTTATTATATATTACGGATATTCACCTCAAGAATAAGTACCGCAACAGTTGTATCATCAATGTCAGCAGAAGAAACGCCGCAGTGCTGATCGCGCCGACAAGGATGCTGAAGATCTTGATATTGTGTAAGGTTATCGGATCCATGTGCAAAGTCACGTAGACGGTCTCGTTGGCGATCGGGTTGAACGCCGTACACTTGTATTTGCCCACATCCTGCCGTAGCAACGTCGCGATGTAAAGGGAACCGTTCTCCAGAACGCGAATGCGGTTGTCATCGACGACCGGCCGATTCGACAACCAGCTGTGCACTTTTGGATGCTCGACGAACACGTCGGGGAATCCTGGATCTGACATCCAATGGAGCACCAGGCCGCTCGGAGTTACCCAAGTCAAGGAGGGTGCAGGATTCCCGCTGAATTCACATTCCAGCAACACCGAACTCAGAAGAAGATACTGCTGAGTTTTGGTAACTCGCAACAGGATCGGCGGACTGCATTTGAGGTAGCTCAATGTTTGTAGCATAGTATTATCAGTCGTGGTGCTGTTTACCTGCTTGTGACCGCATCTAAGTCCGCTCTGAAAAGCTGCGCGCAGATGCGCCCTGCTCTCTGTCCACTTGACGAACCAAAACATGCGGCAATCACAGGCCCACGGATTGCCTTCCAATTGTAGTTCATTCAAGAGCGGTAGATGCGCCACATTTGCCGGCAGGAAGGCCAAGTCATTGTTACGTAGGTCGATTCTACGTAAGGACGGTGTCTCGTTCAGAGTCAACTGGCCGATCTCTCGCAGTGGGCTGTCTGTAATCTCCAGTGTCTCTAGTTCAGCCAGGCCAGCCAGATTATTGTTCCGGAGGTTTTCCAATTTGGTCCCGGATAGCAGAAGAGTTCTTAGCCTGCTAACAGGTCGCCAGATATCACCGGGCAACAACGAGATCGGCAAACGACTTAGATCGAGCCATCGTAGATTGGCGAGGCCTTGAAACGCGGTGTCTGCGAAACGCGCGATTGGATTACCCCCGAGATCGAGATACTCCAAGGCCGTAAGATCGTTGAAAAGGCGACGCGGTAACGCGTCGATCTCGTTGTCAGCGAGATCGAGTACTTTTAATTGCGTCAACCCGGAGAATAATCGCGAGGGCGGCTTTTTTAGCCGATTCCCGGCCAGTCGTAGCTCTCGCAGCTGTTGATTCGGCTGAAAGCTGTGGTCCGGCAGCGAGACCAACCGGTTACCGCTGAGATCGAGCAACACGAGCTCCCTGGCGGAGGCGAACGCCTGATAGGGCAGTACGTAAAGTAGATTCGCCGCCAGACGGATTTCCTGGAGACGATCCAGATTCTGGAACAGCTGCTGCGGCAGCGCGCCCAGCTGATTCCCGGTGAGGTTCAGGTACTGGAGTTGATGCAATGGATGGAAGACGTCCGACGGCAGGTCGGCCAACCGATTATCACCTAGATCGAGTCGCTCGAGATTTACGGTGGCGCTGAATACGTCGGATTCCAGTCTCTTGACGCCGCTTGACGACCACGTCAGACTTCGCAGCCTGTCGAATTTCTTCAGGACGGTCGCATTCACCTGGACATTTCTTAGAAACGCGCTCGTAATATTCTGCGGCAAGGTGAAATCGTGGGGGAAACTGCGCCCCACGCATACCAGACTGCCACCGTTGTTGTTGGTGGTAATGGTCGTGCACTCGCACCCATTGGGACATTCTATCTGTTGTAAAGCCAACGACGACGACGACGACGACGACGACGACGACGACGACGACGACAACGACGACGCGTTTGCGATCGACAACAGTCTGTCCGAAGGTCCACCCGCGACTCGCACCACCACCGCTACTACTGCGATCAAAAAGACCAACCACCTCAAGCGCGGACCATCACCTCCCTTCGCCATCCGCTTCCGCATTCCTAAGATCTGCAATGTGATGATTTGCACGGATACAGCGATCTCCCATGTCCTAACGGGTGGGCTTCCTCGCGAGGAATTCTTTCCGAACTACGGTCCAAATTATGACCGTATCGTTGCTTATTCGACGGTATTGACTCTAGAGACAACTATCGACCGACTAAAGGACAAAGATCTTATTTACTCGCGAACAGACTACGCTTATGCTCTTATTTCTTTATGCTGCGCACCACTACCGGCAGTTAAAATATATATCGATCACTCGACCACGTGTTCGTTGTCACTCTCATCGAGACTAAGAGACTCGCTCTTTTTCATTTTCTACCTACCTGCCGAGAATCACTTCGTTGTGTTCCTCGCAGGCTACCCCGAATACAATGGCTCTGAAGGACAAATGGGGTGGGCAGAAATGCAAAGGAGAGAGAGAGAGAACCGTTGGTGTCTAATCGTTCGCGAGAAATCTGGCGATACGACGTTGAACCTGTCGAAGGTATCTTCCAGGGTGATCGACGATCACGGTATTGCTGGCGGTGACGGGTGACGGTGTGCGTGGATGACGATGTCGGCGGTGTGTCGTCGTCCGTCGGTGCCGTTTCGCGCCGGTTAACATAATTACGCCCGCCGGTACCGTGCCGTATCGTGTTTCGCGTGTGGCTTGCACAGGCACCGAGGAGAGCACGCTTCGTATTTCCCC